AGATTTTTTTTCTTTTTCTTTTTTAAAATTTAGCTGAGAAAGACCAATCTCTTCTATCAATATTTCACAATTCAAAGACTCTATTAAGTGAAAATAAGCCTTAACTAATTTGGAATGCTTTATATTCAAGTTCCAAACCTCAAATTTATAATTTTTTTATAATGAGTGAATTAGATATGTTTAATTAACTTAAAATTTGGTGTATATATCTGATACATGAGTATGGTGTTTTTACAATTTGGACGTACAAAACACTTTTCTTTTTTATATATTAATAGAGAGATTTTTCTGATTCAATCTATAAGCTAAGTATCGAAGCCCACTTTCCCTTTAGTGAGGAACATTTGGTGGTAGCGTCTTCAAGCTTTGATTCTTCACCCGTCTCTCATAATCCAAATAGTAAAAAATAAATCTAATTGCCCTATTCAAAAACAAAAAATAAAAACCTTTTATTTTTTAGCACTTTTAGCTGGAAAAGGAAAGGGAAAGTGATATAAAGATAAATTTGTATTTAATTTGTTTTATAATTTATATATATTATTAAATGAATGAATATAATTAATATTATAGATTTTCAATAAATAAAAAGAATTAATTATTTAAATGATAAGTAAAATTGTATTAAAAGATAGTAAAAAAAAATTGGCTCTAAATTATTTTTAAAATAAAAAAAATTCATCCAAAAATTCAGAAAATTTGTATGGCCAATTTTATTATCTGGGGTTTTTTTTTTTTTTTTGGATGAAATTATTATCTGGGCTTTATTGATTGATTCATCCACCATGTAAATTAAATCAAACCTAGACTGATATCATAGTTGGGCCAACGGCCAACCACTATTGACAATCCTCAATTACAAAGTCAACGTGTTTTTTTTTTTTTTCAAAAATAATAATAATAAAATCAACATTTACAATTTAAACGTTTTCTGTATCATAATCATCCCTCGAAAATATAATTCACATTTTAGAATTTTTTCCATGCTTAAAAGGCTATAACCTGTTTATGGTCTATGTTTATCTTGTGTTGGCCAATCGGTTGCAATGTCATCCTGATTCCGGGTTTGACCATGGGATTGTTGGTTAACGACATATATAATTATTTTTATGTAAGTGTTTTTATTGTTAATATTTGGCAAAATTTCACTAATATAAAAAATTATAGTGATGCATGGGACGGGATAAGGAACCACGCAGTTTCAATCCAAATCCATTCACCGTCGACTGCATTTCGAAGCCATTTTAGCTACTCTATGTTGCCCATTCATTAGCTCTTTCTCTGACATAAGAAAAAAGAGAAGCTAGTCACCCTAGCTAAACAACCATAAATCTCATGCACGTACAACCGCACCAAAACCATGAGTTGATTGATGCAAAACCCTTTCTAGTTTCTGCAATCCCTTGACTAGGATTACTTTCAAAAATCAAATGCTGAAAACCCAAATCCACGGTAAGCCTAACTGAATATGCCAAACCCAATATTTCACCCTCCACCACTGAAAAGCTCTCCTTAACTGCACCATACTGGACAGCTCCAACATCATTCCTAATAACCACACCACATTTCAATAGATTTCCACCAGCTGAAAGAGAGATGCGTCAGTATTTACCTTGACAATACCTCTTCCAAGTGATTTTCACTCACAATCTAATAATAATTTATTTTTAATTAGATATTTTAAATTTAATTCACATGATATAGAAATAAAGTGAATTAAGACAAATGTAGTAACTTAAAGATAAATACAACAAATTAAAATCATGAATTAACTTGGGAGACTCTGTGTCATGCTCTTCATCTTTTATATATTCATGATTAATTTGTTAATATCAAAGTGTTGATTTATTTTATCATGAATGATATTCATACTAAATAAACATTGTAACCGGTCTCCTCATGATCCTGTTGGCAAAGTAAAGCAGTTTAGCTTCAATCATTGTGTCTCAGGTCATGGGCCAATGTGTTGTTTTATTTCATCATGAATGATATTCATACTAAATAAACATTGTAATGTGTATTTTTATGTTCCAGGAGTGTTGTTAATACACTTAAACACTTTTTTTCAACCTCAATAAAAAAAGTCACAAAAACATCTAAATTTTTATAAACATAGTGTTGAAAAGAGTGATACTTTGATCTTTATTTCGAAAAAGTATAATTGGATCTCTTGAGATAATGTATCACATCTTTAATTATTAATATTATATATTTTTATTTTAATTGATCATTATATATTTAATTTATTAAAAAATAAAAAAATATAATAAATAAATAATTAAAAAGGTGTGATATTAATTATTTAAGATATTGCACTTATCCCTTGTTATTCTTTAGAAACTCATTAATTGTAATTATTTTTAAAAAAATATTATTTAAAAGAAAAATAAGGTTGAAAGGAAAGCCAAATATCCATTTTAGTATTTTTCTTAAATCCTAAATGATTAATTAATTAATTTTAACCGTTACCGTTACTACCAATGTCCACGTCATCTTTCCCTCTTCATGCGGAATGCACTTTGCAACTGCTAATAATTTTGAAAATTCACTCACAAAACTACCCCCAATCTCTCCCAAAACCCCAACCAAACAAAACTACATACCTCTGTAATTCTTTCCAAAACCAAGGCTATATCCGTCCTAAAATATCCATTAAATGACGTGTATTAATTCCCTAACCCCTTCGGCTCCCGGGTTCCAACGGTCCTCACCTTTGACTCTCTAGAACTTGGCAAAAAGCAAAAGGAAAACATGCTTCAGGTTTTTTTGTGTGCACTTTCCTCTGTACAAAATGGCAAAACCCTAATTTAAACCCACTCAAGATCGAATGTAGTGTGGTGATTTTGTTAATTACTAAGTGGAGTGAAGAATATTAGCGTCGGGAACGGAATGGAGAGTTTGATTGAGACTGCGGTGGAGTGTCTGGTGCCGTCGTGGTGGGAGGTTAAAGTGACGGTTGCCGCGTCGGTTTTTGTGATCTTCTGTTATTGGTTTTCAGCGTATGGAGGTGGAGATAGGAATGCTGGCGGTGATCGGTCGCAGTTTGGGGAGAATTCTGGCAGTGGGTTTGTTTTCGATAAAGACAAGGTCAATTGTTGTATTGTCCTTCTCTAGCATAATGCTTTCGTTTTGGCTCTTTAGTGAGTTTTCTCTTTTCTTGAATTGGTAATGCTGCTATCTGCTTTGGTTGTACGAATCATGGGTTCAAGTTTCTAACTTTTGATTCTTATGCTTCGTACTTAACTGTAGAAGTTACTTTTCTTTGACCTTTATAAAAGACTGAATCTTTTTATGGAAATTTTATGCCCTTGAGTCAAGGTTAAGTTTTTTGAGTTTTGGTTGAATTTCTAACTCAAGGTCGAATTTTGTATTCGTGGTCATTTGTCACCTTTATTACTTGTCTCCTTGTCTAGAAGAAACTTTGCTTTTTATGTTTTCATGAAGTAATTTTTCACTTCTTTGACATGCAGTTGTGCACTTATTTTGTAGATGGGGCAATTCAAAGGAGATTCAAAAACCAATTCTGCATATATAATCAAGGTCATTTTTGATATTACCGAGGAGTTGATCCATAACTTTCTTTGTGGAACAACATGAAGTTTGTCTTTTTGGTCTATTCAACATGGTATACTGCTTGCTCTCTGTTTCAGGTGGAGCTGCTTGCAGCTAAGAATCTTATTGCTGCAAACTTGAATGGCACATCTGATCCTTATGCTATCATTACTTGTCGTTCAGAAAAGACGTTCAGGTTAGTTAATCTGTTTTTGGTTTGAATGTCTGATGGTTGATGGTTTCTAACAGATATTTTGACTTGTTAAGTTGAAGTGTTTTAATTTCTTATCTCAGTGAGTTAATATTGTGAACGGAAAGTTAATGTCAGATTTGGATAAATCAAACTTCTTGCGGATTGAAGCTATATTTCTTTCCACTGCTAAATCTTGAACCCATATATCTACTGCAACACACTTCTTTAGAGATTTTCTTGTTTTGTTGTTGCAGTTCAATGGTCCCTGGTTCCAGAAATCCAATGTGGGGAGAAGAGTTCAATTTTTCTGTTGATGAGCTTCCTGCCCAGGTTTACATTATCATTTGGATATTTTACCATATGCTTACTTGATGAAAATAGTACACTTCAAACCATCTAGATTCAAGTCTAATTGCATCTTCTGTCGGTGTAGATTAAAAGTTCTCTTATAATTTTCTTTATCATCTTCTTCCGCTTTGTTTTCTTGCTTTAGATATTCATTTTATTGCTATGATCAAGGGAAATATTTTCTTTATATTTGTGATTGCTGGATCAGCAGCGACTTTATGGTGACTGGTTTTGACTGTACCTGTTTAATGATGATGAAACTTTTGTGCGTCATGTAGCTACCAAGACTTTGTCAAAAAGTTTCTTTTTTTCTTAAAAAAGATGATCCTTTGATTGAAAAATCATTGGTATGAATCTGTCCATTACTATGCATGTGCTTTTGATTATTGGCATTGTGATCCAAGGAAATGTTTTTAAAAATGTGACTACTGAGGAACTCAATAGAGGATGCATATAAAATAATTTATGAAGACACATGTCCTGATGAAGTTACAATGTTTATTAACTTATATCTTTTAACTAGCAGATTAATGTGACAATATATGATTGGGATATAATTTGGAAGAGTACTGTTCTTGGTTCAGTAACTGTTCCTGTTGAAAGTGAAGGTCAAACTAGTCCATTATGGTACACATTAGATAGTCCATCTGGACAGGTAACCTTTTCTAGTTGATGTTATTTGCCCTCATATTGTGGATCATTTACCTTGTTGCTTATTACTTATGGAGTCCAACAAAAGAATATTTCCTGCTTTTCAGGTTTGTTTACATATTCAAACAATAAAACTTCCAATTAATTCTGTCAGGTAGAGTTGTCATATAATTTCGTTCTTTAGTTGTTTATTCCCTTTGGAGTTAGCATTCAGATCTATGCACTGGGTGATTTCCTTTTCAATACACTACATATGTTTCTTCATTCTTTGGATGCATGGAAGTATGACCCTGAAGAACTTTTTAGCGACTATTTTGGTCATAGAATTTTTACTGATAGGGCTATAGAAGGATATGCTGGTGCTCATGCTCGAAGAAGAATTTCAGTAGATAAACAAGGACCTACAGTGGTTCATCAAAAGCCAGGGCCATTGCAGACAATATTTGATCTCCCTGCTGATGAGGTATGTTGCATCAAACACATTTCTTGAGGAATCAGTTGTAATTAGGTTTAAATACAGTATGTTTTTTGTTGTTGAATATGACTGTAGCAATTCATTTTCATCACTGTCAGCTGCAGGCTTAACAAAAAGTTTCTCTTTCAGGTTGTGGAACATAGTTATTCTTGTGCACTTGAGAGGTCATTCTTGTATCATGGCCGTATGTATGTCTCTGCATGGCACATATGCTTCCATTCTAATGTGTTCTCTAAGCAAATGAAGGTAGTGTATGTGATTTTTGTTTCACCATTGACCAGATTTTGCCTTTTATTTGGATAATTTCTTGAATGGATGTGCTGAAATCAACATGCTGAATGGAGATTGTGTCAAGTCTAGCATATTAATGTGTGATTTGAGATACAAGTCTGGCTTATCTAATCATAATTTAACTGGATTGCAATATATTCCAGATCATCAACTGGCCATATAAATGTGTGTTCGAGATCTTAGGAAAAAGGTCTGCTAGAGTTGTTTAATCACATAAGGAAGTTGGTGTTTGTAGTTGTCTAATTGTTTCTTATTTTTAATGGCAGATTCATTATATTTGTAATGCATCATGCTTCAAATTATGCCCATTCTTCTTAACTTTTTTGATGACTTTATCATTATTAGGTCTGTAATAATATGTATATTTTTGTTTACACTTGACAGGTCGTAATACCATTCAGGGATATTGATGAGGTTCGCATAGTAGTTCTTGTGAATAGCTCTCAATTCTTGAACAAATAGTTGAATGATGTGAAATGATTACATCCAATATATATATATATATATATATTTTGGTTTACGCAGATATGCAGGAGTCAGCATGCATTCATAAATCCTGCTATAACAATCATTCTCCGGATGGGTGCTGGTGGCCATGGTGTACCTCCTTTAGGAAGTTCTGATGGTTAGTGACCTAATTCATTGGTCTGAATGCTTGATAAGTTATGGGTGGTTTATATTCTTTATCTTCTTTTTTCTTTTTTTTTTTTTTCTCTTCTCTCTTAAGGATGCAAGGGATTTAACTTCAAGCATTTTTTAAAAAACTTGATCTGAATTTGTTAATTTGAATAATCTTTATGTTCACGGAAATGGCTTCAAATATTTTGTACCAATCTCAGCTCTGCTCAACTGAACCTTGTACAAAACTGATTCTGGATGGCTGCATGAATCAAGGCAATTTAATGTTTGGAAACATTGTATTTGAGGAATATTATCTTTTGCAGTACTTGTGGGAAACTAACTCATTTAGTTCTTGTTCATAAGGTTTTCTTCATCATTAATGAGATCAAAGTTCTTTGATTGTGAACTGAAATAAGAAGGCTACCTCATTTGTGGCAAATTTTGTGTTTTATTACAGTACTAAACGCAATATTTGATACCAAGGTGCAGGATCCTTTTTTTAGTATGAATTGAGAATTTGTGGGTTTATGTTATGTTTATGTTTGTTCGATGTTTTCAGGTAGAGTCAGGTATAAATTTGCATCATTTTGGAACAGGAACCATGCATTAAGAGCATTACAGCGTGCAGTAAAGAACTACCATGATAGAATAGAAGCAGAGAAAAAGGTCCAGCCCTTGTGCTTTGTGAATCAGTTTTCTATTATCTTTTGTTTTCACTTCTTCTCCCTGAGCTTTCCTTCTAATTTTCAACAAATTGGAATGAGATACGTGATCATAAATCTTCCTCTGATGTCTAAAAAAACGAGACCTACCAGAAAGCTTTTCTCACTGCCTAAGGTGGCAAGCATGGCTTGTATGGAAGTGCTTTTAATTTTCATTCATATATAGCCTCTTTTTAATACCTATTTAAAATGTGTTGTTAGCCCCTTCTTGTCAACATTTATTGATGTATTTTACTCTGGAGAATCACTTAAAAAGAGACGAAAAGAAAGGAAAGAAACAAAAAACAGAGACAGATTTGGTTAAATGTAATAATATTTTTTTTTTCTTTATTGTTTTGCTGCCAAACAGGAAAGAGCGGAGTCAGAATTGCGTGCACATAGTAGCTCAACTAAGAGTACTAGGTCTCCTGAGACTCCTGTAGATAGTTCCTCCAAAATTGAAAAGCACCAAGCTTTTCTCAAAGAAGAGGTTCTTGTTGGTATTAGCAACGTATGCATCATTCTTTTCCTCTTCCTTCACACATTTATTCTGTTTTGTTGTGCTTTTATAAATGATTGAAGTTTCTTGCAGGATGTATTTCCATGCACAGCAGAGCAATTCTTTAACATATTGTTGAGTGATGGTTCTACTTTCTTAGCTGAGTATCGTTCAGCACGAAAGGATACTGATCTAAAAGTAAGCCCCAGACCAGTTTAACTATTCTTGGATGCTCCTCAAAAGTTTCTAAAAACAAAGGAGGTTTCATGGACCTTTTAATTATCTTTTCAGATAGGACAGTGGCATGCTGCAGATGAATATGATGGTCAAGTAAGAGAGACAACACACAGACATGTTTGTAACAGTCCCATGTGCCCACCTGACACAGCCATGACAGAGTATCAGCATTATGTTTTATCACCTGATAAGAAAAAACTTGTATAGTCTCTATCATTCCTAGTATACAGTTTTTCTTTCCTTATTCTATAAATTTCAACTTCTATCTCTCCTTTGTCATAAACTTCTTTGCATGCGATGGAATGGAACTCTTTAGATTGCCTCTCTACAGTTGACTTCATTCATTTTTCTTAATCAATTGTCCCTTGTTTTAGGTTTTTGAAACTGTACAAAATGCACATGATGTTCCTTTTGGGTCTTATTTTGAGGTAAGTAATTTTTCGACATCTTGCTTTCAGATTCAAATTTATAGTTGCAGGTCTCTTTGACTGCACATTGTTCAATCTTTCTCAGAAACCTATTGGCTAGTCCATGCTTCGTGAATTCCATCATTTTTACATACGACTATGATGTCATCTTTACCTCTCTCAGTTCTTTCACTTGATTTACTGAGTAAACCTTTGAGTCAGTGGACATCATGCCTGATTTTGGCTACTTAACTAGCACTAACAAACACTTTTAAAACTTCTGCCACAGAGGAATCAATGTCTCTATGATTAAAAGTACTAGAAGAAGTTCATATGTGGCAAAGATTACATTCGGAAAATAACCCATATCATTGCTGATTGTGACTTAGTTTCATTGAATCCTTTTCTATTGCTGCATCAGGTTCACTGTCGGTGGTGTTCGGAGACCACTACAGAAAATTCATCTACTCTAGATATAAAAGTAGGTAAGTTTATGGTTGGTTTTCATTGCTTTTTATCTCCCGGGCACTTTTTCCATTCCCTCTGCTACTGAACCTAATATGGAAAGATGGTATTGAATTTTATTATCATTTAGAATAAGACATAGTATAAAAATAAATGAGAATATTGTAATAGTAAAAATAAGTGAGAACATTGTAATAGTGTTTCATCTTCCTGGGACTTGAGACTAATTTATGTTGCAATCGATTACAGGTGTACATTTCAAGAAATGGTTTGTGATGCAATCCAAACTTAGGGCCGGTGCTATCAGTGAGGTTGGTACATTACAATCAAACCCTAGTCTTGCATTGATCTGCTTTGTAAATAGCTATCTCTGGAAAAACTTGAGCAACCTGCAATTCACTGTATTCTTCATGATCATCTCATGCAGTACAAGAAAGAGATTGTGATGATGTTGGAGACCGCTCGCTCATACATCCAGTCACATTCTTCCGGTTGTGAGATTGATAAGTACACACCCCCACCCTCAGCTATTCAAGATATTCAAGATAGCAGTTGATACCAGTAGCTTCTCTAACAACTGGGTTTCATTTTATTGTCCATTGTCCTTTAAATTTATAGCATTGATACATACAGCAATGAGCAACCTCATCTGATGGCTATAGTGGTTCTATCTTCTTCTTCCTTGCAACACTCCCCTAATGGTGTTTAGTAACAAATTTTCTGTTGAGCCTGCTGGCACTATCTTTGTGTACCTATACTTTTTTTTTCAATAACGTAAATAAAAGAACAAAGAAAATACACTTTACCTACTAATGGTTTTTGATGGGATACATAAATATTTGAAATTTGTATACAAGTTTCTTAGCCCTTGAAGTTATCCAAAATACAAGTTTCCGCTTATTTATGACTCATTCTTTTTCAGAGTTAGGGGCAGTTTTTTTCCCAAAAGAATTCAGTTTTACTTCAAGCTATGACTTCATAGTTTTATGTTTAAAGTTTGGCTAAAAAAATTAAACTTCATGTATTGAATTGCAATTTTTTGCAAAACATATGGGGTCATTTGAGTATTTCACCAGAAAGGAAATTTACCTTCTTTTAAAACACTCCACAAGGCAAACACACCCCAATTACCTCAAAACGGTTTCGTTTTAAAGTAAACAGAAATCTGGGTGGGTTTCCATACCCGAATCCGTATTTCAGTACTCCACACCCGCTTCTCGTCTTCTTTCTGATCTATATTCCAGAGACGAGAGGGAGACTTTCACAAGGAGAAAAACAAAGACTTGGACTTTACAGAGGAGAAGAGAAAGATGGGTGTCTACAGTTCGATTGTGTGTCGGAATGTATGTGTTTTGTTGCTCTTTTTGGTTACGTCTCCGGTGATTGTGTTGTCGAGGGAGCAGCTGAGCTCAAGGGAATGTGAGAATCTGGGGTTTACGGGTCTGGCTCTTTGCTCCGATTGCAACACCTTTGCTGAGTACGTCAAGGATCAAGGTACTGTCTTTCCAAATTCTGAAATCAGATTTTATATTTCATTCGTTGGTGATGGTATGTTTCGTTTTCAAGGCTGGTTTTTTATGTTGGTTTTTTCATTATCTGTTCATATTTATGGGTTTTGATTGTTATTGAAAGAGAGTGATTTAGATCAGGAATTGGTGTAGTGTTAGATCTTTTCTTTTTTTCTTCTTCTTCTTCTTCTTCCGGCTAATTGATAGTATTAGTTTCGGTTGATGATTGATTCAGTTTAAGCCTTGAAGATTTCAATTTTGTCAAAAAAAGAAAACAATTTGTGCAATGTGTGATGATATATAAAGAGTTGTTCTAAGTCCATGTTTTGGTTGCAGAGTTGGTATCTGACTGCTTGAAATGTTGCACGGAGGACTCTGATGATTCCATGAGCAAGGTATATCGTATGCTATTTTGGGGTTCAAAGCTATTTTCTGGATTTGCCTCGTGCATCCGTTGTGTGTGTGATGGAATTGTTTAGTTTTATTGAGATTCTTTACTTTTCTAGTATCTTAATCACCGTAAGTGGAAGGCTTTTTTAGGTGCCATCTCTCTTATACCCTCTGTGTGGAGAAAGAGGGAGACAGTGTTTACAAGTGGAAAAGGGAGATCTTTAGACCAGTAGTCATTGGTCAACCTCCAACGAGCATGTCTTTGTGCATAAAACCACTGAGATGCTCTAGTCCCATATACATGACATCTTGTTTTTAATTATCATGGCTGAAATTTAAGCTTCAGTCTTGCCAGAGGTTTTAGGTGATCATGAAAATGTCCTCCACCGTTTTGTTTCCCTTTTTCCACAAGAGGGGAAAAGTAGGATGGAACTGGGGAATAAATAGTATCTCACTTCCAAATAGCCCATCATCTGGTAATTATCATAGAGGCAAGAATGTGTTTTGGTTTATTTTCTTCCAACTTGATTAAGAGATTGGACATTTAGCAAAGGGTGCAGTCTTTCATTTTTATGATTTTCCTACTTTTGTGTTGTCTAGCAGAGCGTAACTCTTCTAATTAACCGCTTATCTCATTCCCTTCATGCGATGAAACTGCTGAAGGGTTTACAACCCTCTAGTCTTTTTTTTTTTTTTCTTTTTTGGGCTTATTTTGAACTTTAAAGAAAAAAAAAAATGATGCATCTACTTCTGTTGCAATTGCAGATTACTTACTCTGGTGCAGTGATAGAGGTCTGCATGAGGAAACTGGTTTTCTATCCTGAAATTGTTGGTTTCATTGAAGAGGAGAAGGACAAGTTCCCAACTGTTAAAGTTCGGTATGATTACAACTCTCCACCAAAGTTGATCATGCTGGATGATGAGGGGCAACAGAAGGAAACTATAAGGTAAGCTGCATCTTGTGAATATAATCCTAACTACTGTTCTGATCTTGCCATAGAAAAGAACTCATTCGATATAATTGTCCCCTGAATAAGTTGAAATTTATTTAAACATATATGTTTTGACATGTTTCGTGATAATGTATAGAAACCTAAGTACTTAATCAAATAATTCTATTTCTAATTTGTTATTTTGAGATTTGAAAATAAATGTGCTCCATTTAAGAGTCTGAACAATAAACAGCCTTTTAATCCTTTTTTACTTTTGACATTATTACATGCATTCTTGAGAAACTAACAAATTCCCTTGCCCATTGAGATTTGTCCTATGCATTCTTTTTGCAGAATTGACAATTGGAAACGGGAACACATCCTGCAGTTCCTGCGAGAGAAAGTTGAACCTACTTCAGCAAGTTCGTAGAGAGTGATTCATTATCTTGTAGCTTATTTATTATGAGTTCCTAGATTCCTCTTTAAAGTTAGAAAAGTCACGACTGATGGCTTGTATTGTATACTAGAAAGAGTACACTGTTAGTGCCAAGAACTAATTCTGGGCTCTTAAATGAGTGACGGACGGTGTTGCAAATCTCCAATTATCAATGGAATTATGGAAAGTTTTTTTAACGCAACAAGAAATTCATTATGAAGTGCCCCACTATGATGATGTTCGCCGTACGAAAAGGGCATGTTATGAGCAGTCTGGGAGTATTACCTGCACTGATTACTGATTGAAATGTCCAGGAGTCAAATGTTAATGGTCTGATAAAGAACTGCCAGATGCAACCGCCATTGACCAGTCAGTTGTCTCCGCGTATTGTAGTTGCAGTCTTTGCAGAGCAGAAGACTTTAACCCTGCTTGAAATTGAAGATACAGTCAATAGATCCTTTTCATTGTGTGATTTTTTATTTTTCTTTTTATTTTTTTTTTTTGTTTTTTTTTTGTTTTGAATGTTTTCAAAGGAGGAGTATGTCAATAACTAGACGGCCTTTTTTTTCAATTTTTTTTTATTAAGGACCACTTCAGAAAATAATAATTTGTTACACCCCTAAATCCTATATATTTCCAGGATAAGGTGGAAAAGCACCAAAGCAACTAAATACCGTACATGACACCTGAACTTAAGATTACACAGCAGCATTAACCATTAAATCCCCCTTCAACTACTTCATAGATACAGTTTCAGATAGTTATACACTTGCGTCCTCAATTTACATCTGAGATTATCAGAATAAAGAGGAAGATGATGTTACATATATATATATATATATATATATAGCTTAATCTTATCACTACTTTAAAATCAGAGTGGTGAAGGGCTGCATTTTAGATACACACAATTCTCCGGCATTGAAACCTGACAGTTTTGCATCCCTCAATCCTCCATCAGCTATGACTTATATGAGTTTGTGTCTAACTTGGAAAGTTGTGCATCCAAGTTGGTTACCTATTAAACCAAATCTAGTGAAATCCAGCTGCTGAGAGAAATAAATTGTCAATGGAATGGTGAGATTGCTTTGTCAAATTTGGGTGATGAGGCCTTGATGGGAGCCCAAATATCTGCACCATTGCTGTGCGCGATACCAACAGTGCAAGAGGTTGGAACTAGGCACAGCCCTCTGTTTCTCAGACTGTATTGCTCTACTTCCTGGAAGAAGATTCAAATCCAGATTCAGGTCTCACTGGAGTGTATCAATTTAAAGGGTTGTTTTCAAAATTCATGCCATCATGCCCATACTTCTAGCAACATTACAGAAAAGTCACTTAAACCTATTTTAACATGCACATAGCTCCAGCTCATGCTCACCTGCACATTAGTTGTTGGCATGCTTTGGAGGTACGGAGCACTCAAAACCTGAAAAGGGTAAATATTGCAAAGACTGTGAAATCAGGGTTAAAGTCGATGAACAGAAATTTTGCACAACACAGTTGATCACCATATTACTGAAGAAGTCATCATAGACATCAAGATGATGCAGTAATTCTTAAAAGAAAATCTGCATAATAACTATTGGCTGATAGAGTTGAAAGAAAAATTTAGGTGAAACAAGAAAGAGAGAACAAACCTTTACTTGTTCATGAAGAAATTGTATGTATTCCATTGCCTCCAAGAGTACAGAAGCTGTATCAGTCTGTAATGAATGAAAAGAACTCATGTTTACAGCAAGATAAGCATCTATATCAAAGCTAAGAGATTGAAGTTGAATGAGCACTATGACACTTCCTCACATCCTGTTTCAAGAATATTCTAGAAAGCAAAAGAACATATATTTGGTGAAAAAGACATGTACTTGACTTGATTCTTCACCTCTTGGTTCTTATAGACTTGTAGTGAGAGATTAATAAATTTGCAACATTTACCTTTCCAAAGGGTGAAACAAGCTGTTGAAGAGCAACAATACGTTCACTAAGCTTCTCCTTCCTCTCCTATTACCAAAAACACAAATTAAGGTTAGTACCCTGCAAATGAAAAGGAATTGCAATAAAAATTTCCACATATCGGGGATTAAGCCCTCTAGTCAAGCTCTGTGCTATACACTACATTCATGGTCACTACCTCACAGGCATAAATTGGTAAATCTACAACACGAACGTGGAAAAAGAAAATACACCAAAGGTAAATGTAAAGGCAAGAAAGGAGGTTAAGAAACCTTCGTGGAGATAGATATATCAGCCTTCTGCCGTTTGGCTGCCAATGAATTGAAACTGTGATGATCAAGATCAACTGAGCATGGGCCTCTCTTATGTTCCATCATCTTCTCAGCCTTTATCCCTTCTTCTCCCTACTTACAAAAACTTCTTTTGTTAGCAAATGATTAACTCAGTTCGACACTAGAAGACATAATATTATAAACAATCACCGAATAATATAATTGAAACCTCATTATTAAATTACACCTTAAAAATTAACATTTTATATGTGTAATAGACAACAGAGTACCTTGTCCATATCATAAACCAAAAACAACATAAAATTCTTTGGTCAGCAGAAAACCCTCCATTCGACGCAATGTTATAAACAATCTTCAACTAATATAATTGAAAACTTACAATTAAAAATGATATCACTATACTTCATGACTGTAAGCTTGCAAACAGACAACAGTTGCGTGAATCAGTCATGAAAATCACGATTACCTACTTAGATAAAAAAATCGACAACAGATGTAATCAATAACAAATTGCATCATAAGTTTATGCACCAGCAATGTATCATAAAAACAAATTTTAATTAACCATACCAAGAACAATAATCAGGCAGAACTGGATGGTTTGAACCAAGTTTAGTAAACTATACATAATCTAGAGTTCTAGACAAAATTACCTCCATTTCCTATTCAAAGTTTCAAACCCACCCCCTCTCCCAGAAAAAGGGAATTCAAAAGAACTGGAAGCAAGAACTATAATTTGAAGGACAACAGAACAACATTCCAATATAAGTGACCTCGTAGAAGTTAATTCAATGAACTTGATCAAAAGTAAGGAAATTCAAAAGAGGAGAAAAGGGGAAACGTTTATGAGTTCTGTAACTGAAACTCACCAAGAACACACAGTCCGCATTGCAGGAAGGGCCACAACAAATTCCCAACGTTATAAGACGAAATCTTCAAAAATAAAAAAACCCCCCACTTGCAGGAATACCCAAATTCAACAAAAGTCGAAGTAAAAGCCAAAGTTTATGGCTTTAAGGCTTAAGCTCAGTTTTTTCAACAAAACTTGTATCCCAAAAGTCAGTACTGTTCCTATTTGTCCCAATGGAAGAATCACCCCCCTGCTTTTCTTTCCGAAAGAAGGAAACTTTATAGCCAAAAGCTGTCAGTTTTTGCGTCTGAAAGTTGGAAACTTTAGCCAAGAAACCGAAATCCTTTAACTCCAAAAAGGAAAGGAAAGTTAGCTTGAAAACAGTGAAATTGAATTGGGAGTCCAGTGCTGGGTAGCTAGGGTGAGGGAACGACACCCCTTTGAGGGTGTATGAAAAGCAGAGATGAAGGGTCGGTGCTGAAACTCCGGCGAGAGAGGCGGAGAAAGTAGTATCTGTGTATGCGTGTGAAGAGGAAAGTTTGGGAAAGAGGAGGACGAGGCTGTTTCTTTCAAATTTGTTTTATAAGGTTTTCGAAAGCAAAAACATTTTTTTTAATAAAAACGTAAAGAAAAATGACAAGGCGCGTGTGAATAGTTTGTTTTTGTTTTCTAAATTGGACAGCTAATATCCAGCCAGGCAAGCAGCCCTGAGAGATTTTGAGACATGGTACATATTTTTTCTTTTCGTTTTTTTATTTTTTATTTTTTTATTTTTTAGTTCGGGACATGAACAATAAAAAGCTTAATATTATTCCCCTGTTAAGGACAATATATGGTTTTTATTTTTATTTT